ACAGGGGGCCTCTGTTGCGCCCCTCCACTTGGGCCCTTTGCTGATGACTCCGCACTGGCTCGTACCCGACTAATCGCCAACCCTTTACTGGCGTCTTCCTTTAGAAAGAGACTTTGCCACCACTGTGGCAGCACGACGCTTGTGTCTAGCGCGAGGTCCCCTTCGGACCGTCCCGCCACCCTACGCTGAGGGCAGTCTCCAGACTGACTAATACGGCCTCTCGTAAATCTGTTGCCAACGAAAGCCTCCCGTCGGCACCCAGCCCGCTCCGGCAGTGGGACTGCCGGCGGGTCGCGCGCAGTTGCCACCTCCGGTGACAGTGCCGCGTTTCCTATCGGCTCACGCATCCCCGCATCGCTGTGTAGTTCGCTGCTGTGATCCCGTTTACCCGTATCTCCTTCCTCCATTATCAACGTTGTCCCAGCGTGAGACTGTACTGCCAAGGGTTGCTGCTTCTCGTCTGTGCCCTGACCCTCGGCATTCTCCTTCGCCTCTCTACCAGGCAACTTCTTGCTCCAATCTGGGGAGACTGGGATGGGGTTAGGCCCCGTCGCTACGGNGCCTCTCTACCAGGCAACTTCTTGCTCCAATCTGGGGAGACTGGGATGGGGTTAGGCCCCGTCGCTACGGTGCACATTGTACCTGTACCCCTCATAGGTAGCCTAGTCCGTTCGTCTCCTTTAACGACTAGGCCCGCTCGTTTAAATGCCTCGATTTGTTCCCCTTGAGAACGCGCTTGCTGCTGTCTGGGCTGCCTTACGGGCTCCTCTCTAGGCCGAGCCGGCGTAGGACAGTCTCTAGCGTAGTGATCCCATCCCCCACATCTGGAACACATTTCCCCATTCCGTCGTGTCACGCCTATGCGGAGTGGACAGTCCCTGCTCACATGCCCCTTTCCTCTGCACTCGTAACACAGGGATCCCATATTAGCATTACCCCTAACACTCTTGCTTGCCCGTTCTCTCTGTAGACCCTGCTCTCGTTCACCTTGAGCCCATCTACGCTTGGCGTCCTCTAAGTCCCTTTGGAATCGGAGGCGCTCTTCACATGAATCCTTCCATGGTGCCGCAGTAGCATCCAGCGCTGCCGCAGCGTCCTGCCAGTCTGTGAATTTCCTCGTTCCGCCGCGGGTCACCTCGCGGTATATGTCATCTGGTAGATTAGCTAAATAGTAACCCACCAACAAGTCAGGTGCCATAGATACCCCTTGTGCAACTATGGCTGCAAAACGCGAAGAGTAAGCAGTGTGGTCACCTCGCCACACATTCTCTGCCATCATCACTTTCATTCTCTCCTTAGTTATATTACAAAATCTGGCACAGAACTGCTGTCTCAGGATTTCCCAATCACTCAGTGGTGCCCCTGTGCGTCGCAAGTACAACCAGTAACCCAAAGCATCGCCCCTCAGATATCGTCTTAGTTCTTCTCCCCAATGTCGAGCGTCCAACCCCCGTTCGTCGAAGTCTATCTCCACAAGATCGAGGAAATTCCTCATGTTCTTGCCATCCTCGTAACATATGGCCCTCTGGGTCGCATGCCCTAATCCC